GGGGGTAGGGGTGTCCTGAATTAGGGCTTATTTTGGTTTTATTTTTGCTGAACTTCCCACAACTAGGAATTAAAGTCTGAGTGTTTTATTTCGAGAATGGTGTTGGTGGGGCACCAGGGTGGCTCAGTCAGTTAAGTGTCTGACTCTTGGTTTCAGCTCAGGTCATGATCTCATGGTTTCGTGAGTTTGCACCCCGCATCGGGCTCTGTGCTGACAGCGAGGAGCCTGCTTGAGATTCTCTGTCTCCCTCTCTCTGCCTCTCCTCTACTCATGCTGTATCTCAAAACTTAAAAAAAAAACAACGAATGGCATTAACAAACCAAAATGTGTTGAGAGGAGACTTTTATGATAAGGGATCTCGAAGCTATTGTGGTTTCAGAAAGTTGAAGGCAGTGAGTTTGTGTGCCCTGGAGAAGACGAGACTAGAGACGAATATTAGATGGAAAATCATATAAAACATGGAGCTTATTTGACCAGGATTATAATACCAACTTAATCATTGATGTTCTCCTTGAGCCTCCGTGAAAACATAGTGGCAATATTAAATGAACACATACATGAGTGATACATAACTCACCCAAAATTAAGCACTGTTTAAATAAAATTGTGGAGTTTACTAACATCTCTCTTTTTTTTTTCAACGTTTTTTTATTTATTTTTGGGACAGAGAGAGACAGAGCATGAACGGGGGAGGGGCAGAGAGAGAGGGAGACACAGAATCGGAAGCAGGCTCCAGGCTCCGAGCCATCAGCCCAGAGCCCGACGCGGGGCTCGAACTCACGGACACGCGCGATCGTGACCTGGCTGAAGTCGGACGCTTAACCGACTGCGCCACCCAGGCGCCCCTAACATCTCTTGAGCCTGAATTCCCTCGGTGGTGGTAATGAGATGACGACAGTCTCCACAATAAGTTATCAAGGTTACAGTTATGTAACAGAGACAACGGTACTTGGGGCACTGGGCACATGGTTTCTATCCTTATTATCATTCCTCAGCTTACTACCTGGCTGATCACTTGAGTCCCTCAAAGAGCTGAGGGGAAACGGGGCAGGAGCTAAACTATATGTTCCAGGGGTCTGTGTGCTTCAGGAAAAGTCACAGGTTTGGAGCTCTGGCTTCACGAAAACAGTGTTTGGATGGACAGAAAGGAGTCTTAGAATAAGTTTTTGGGGACACTGATATAAGCTTAAATAGCCAAATAACTCACCTGTGATCCCTACACCTCTAACTCCACGATGATTTTCAAAAAGACTGTGAAAATACGATGGGATAGATTTCTTAAAGCTGGAGAGTGGCAGAGTATATACCTAGGTCTGCACATGGATCTGAGCATGTTTGGGGACAGGGACAGGGAACCATATGGCAAAGAGGGTCATTTTACCTACTCCTGTCTATCCCTTGATCGGGTACTCATTTAAAGGGCTATTGTTGATCCTCTCTGGTAGGTAGGTAAGGCCAAGTGATTACATTCTAGCCACAGAGACAAAGGCATAATTATTTTCTAGAATTTCTGTCAAGGATCCTTTAAAGAGAGTCAATATGGGGGCCCTGGTTGGTTCAGTCGTAGAGCATGCCACTCTTGATCTCGGGGTTGTAAGTTTGAGTCCCACGTTGGGTGTAGAGATTGCTTAAAAATAGAATAAATGAATGTCAATGTCATTTTTTTTCTTCACATTTAAAAAAATTTCTTTCTGGCCTGCAACTGGGATGTGATGGCTGGAGTTCCAGCAACAGCTGTGTAGGAGGATAAAGTGACTTTGGGAATGAAGTGATGAGGTAGATCTGAATGACAGAAGGAATCCAGGTTCTTGCTTTTACAGGATAGTCACAATCTTGCGTGGGGACATTTACCTTCAGATTCCCTTTGACATGACAGAGAAATACACTTTAGCCATAATTTTCAGTCCCTATGACAATGTCAGACATATTCAAAGTCAAGGAGAGGACTCTACATTTATCCTGATCATTGAAGCCTAGGGCTTTAAGCCAAAGCCACTAATATCTCTATGGGCAGAGAGACTCCCAGTGACATCTAGGTTCATTAATAATAATTAATAGGAAGTTGACAGCTAAGCCCATGAATAATGAAGTTTCTATATTAAAAACACAGAGGAGAAAAAAACTACTGACTCATGCCTTTGGCCACTTCCAAATTGTTAGGAATTTCCTGAATCAGAGATTTTACCACCTGACCACCTCTTTTATTAACATTTGTGTATCATTTACTATGTGGTTAAGTACCGTTCTAGGTACTTTAAACACATTGATACATAGAATTGGCCGAACAAACCTTTAAATTTGGTACAATTATTGACCTTCCTTTCAAGTCAAGATACTGAGGAAGACTTCAGTTGTCTGAAGTCAGGAGATAGAAAGTCAAATGTCGAACTTGGACTATCTGGATCTAGAGTCTACACTGGTACCAGTACTCTATGCTGTCCACTAAGAGAAGGGAATCTTGTCACAAAGTTGGCTTAGAAGCCCCTTGCTGACTTAGTTCCACCTCCTGATGGAAACAAATTTCCAAGGGAAAAGTGGGACAGGAATCCATTTAACTTGACTTTTTAGAAGATCCTGGTATGGCTACTACATTTCTCAGACCACCTTGTGGAAACTAAGTGGTTTGCACAATGCTCCTATCATTCATCAAGGTGCACATTCAATATTAATATTGTCCTAGAGAAGAAAGAGCCAGTGCAGGGTTACTAGTCAACTAAGATCAAGAGAGTGCGGCCTAGTGTTCTCCCCAAGATCTTTTAGTGGCTTTTGTAAAAATATATGAAGTTTATTGTCAAATTGGTTTCCATACAACACCCAGTGCTCATCCCAAAAGATGCCCTCTTCAATGTCCATCACCTCCCCTCCCTCCCACCCCCCATCAACCCTCAAGCTTGTTCTCAGTTTTTAAGAGTCTCTTATGCTTTAGACAAATGTAAACAAACGTGAACATAGAGAGCCCCCATTAACGAATGACCAGTACGTGCAAAGTACTTCTAAATAAAAGGCACCTTTACATCTTAGGCTGTAAATATTATTTTTTGTAGCTGAGTGGCCTCAGTACCAGCACCTCAGTGGCAGCTTTGAGATTTGAGCCCAAGTCCAAAATCCTACGTTTTCCTTATATTACTGCGCACTACTTTTCCAGCACAGAGATCAAAAGCAAAACCGTGCTTTATAAAAACAATCTCATCCTTCTTTCTTTGTGCCTTTTCATGTCTTAGTATTTTCATAATAAAGAAAAATGGAAACATAAACGTTTGGAATCTACAAGTCAAGATATTCAAAAGGTAAGTCATAGATACGGAGAACGGATTGGTGGCTAAAAGAGGCAGGGGTTGGGGAACAGGAGAAAGGGGTAAATTATACCTTCTAGAGGTATAATTCCTTATCAGCACATCTACTAGGGGACATTCTTCTAGGTATATTGGGTCACAGTGAATATTTCAATCTTTCTTACCTACACAAATCTTACTGCAAATGTTGAAATGAAGGCCCACAGAGGAGAACGACTTTACCAAGGTCAGCTGATCCCCATATCCAGGTTTGGGAGCCCCATTTCAACGCTGCCTTTCTAAAAACAAAATACTCCTTTCCTACAAGAATCTATTTTCGTCTCTTTTCCTAAACCAGGGAACCATAGCAATCAAATTCATTTGAAAAGTATGGAAGAGACGTGTAAGTCTAACTTAGTCTATTTTTAATGCATGAAGAGATTACCCTTGTAGAGTAAACTGCGAAGTATTCCAACCTTATTTAGCACATGGAAACAAAAGGGAACACAAAGGCCACAGCTGAGCCCCTCCTCTCCCCTGCCTTTCTAACACTGAGGGTAAGTTGGTAGTTGAGAGAGAAATGGCTGCCTGGTAGGGACCCCCACCCCCCTCATTACCCAAGGCCGCCGAGAAGAGGAATACCCCTCAAGAACGGGGCCTGGTGAAAGTGCTTAGAAACAGTCTGAGCTGAAACAGTGCCCTTCTGATTCCATTTATCAGTGGTGGTGGTGGCATCTTTTGAAGTGGATTCCTTCAGCCTTGGCAGGAGCGCAGAACCACCCACAGAGGAGGAACTACCACCCACAGACTCCATGAGGCTCCTCAAGGAGGGGGTACCCCACAGCTGGGTCTGGCCTTGCTGAGAGCAGGCTGCACCAGGGAAGAAGAGGAAAACCCGCCGACTCATGTCTTTGGCCACTTCCAAATTATTAGGAATTTCCTGACCCGGGCTTATATGCGTAACTTTTCCATCTGGGATAAGAGAAGTCATGGGCCTTTTTTCTAAATAAGAGGGAAGAAAGCATTCAATACGATGAGTATTTTAGAGATGTTCTATATACTAGCATCCACCCTTGTCTATGGCGCCACCGTATTGAAGAGGCTAACGTCACACAAATTGTATCAATGGGCTCCCTTGCCATTGAGCTGCCAGTTGGCTTTGGCTGGTTGGAGGCACTAGTGAGAGACACAAAGGGCTAGAAAGGAGTAAAGTCAAGCTACGTATTATTCCAGTCCTCTTTCTGCCAGGTCCCCTTGGGTTGGTTGAGTCCCTTTTTTAGTGGTCAAGCCCTATCAAGCAGTTTTCTCTCCACAGAGTCACCTCGTCCTCTGTCATTTGCGGAAGTCTTAGTGAGATTGTTAGAGTGACATTGGGCGGACATTGAGTGATCTAAGCTGGGCCTCAGACTTTGAATCTTAACTGATACGGAGCTAGAGAAAGAGAACTAACGATGCCTGTGTGGGAGCCTTGAAAAAACAAAGTTCAGTAGCTCCTAACAGATTCCTGGAGCTATGCTGGTCCCATCCTTTTTCAGGTTCTGATTCTTTAAGTGTTTCCTTAAATGTTGTGATTCACGCACATTCAACTGAAAAGGCACTTATAACTGACAAAGTAACTTGTTAGAGGTAACACAGCTAGTAAGTAGAAAATACAGGATTCAAATCCAGGTTTGTTCCCAATACACTATACTAATGCTTACACATGCAAAGAATTTAGAAGTCCATTACCTGTACAAAGAGATTTGAACTCAATCCACTGTTAAAAGCTGAGCAAGTTATCAGAGATGTCTCTGTCTGGTGCCTGGCTATAGGGGAAAATACAAAATAAAGAGCAATTTAGAAAACTGTTATGACCAATAGAATTCTTTCTTTGTACAGCAGAGAAACGAACTGATCATCAATGTATAAAACCATAGCCATTTGCAAAAGACTTTTCATTCTCATTTCTAATTCTCTTTTTCACTGCTCTCAGTTCTGAGAATAACTAGAGAAAGTAGCAAATATTTATATCTTATTGACAGTAGGATTTTGTAGTATATGGTATCTGCTATAGATTGAATTTTTGTGCCCCCCCCACCCTGCCAAATCCATAAGCTGAAAAGCTGATATCCAACACGGGGTTCCATGGTGTCATAGTTAGCACTCTGGACCATGAAAACTTAATATCCAACGTGGTGGCATGAGGAGGTGAGGCCTTTGGGAACTAATTAGGTCATGACGGTAGAGCTCTCATGAATGGTATTTGTACTTTTTTGAAAGAGACACTGGAGAGCTCCCTTGCCCTTGTCCTCTGAGGACCCACAGAGAGGGCATCACCTGTGAATCAGGAAGTATGTCCTCACCAGACACCAAATTTGCTGGCACCTGGATTGTGGAGTGGCCACCCTCCCGAACTTTGAGAGATTTCTATTCTTTATAATTTATACCGTTCATGGTATTATAGCAGCAGGAGCAGACTAAGACAATATCTTAATTTTTAAAACTATCCTATTCAGAGGCCATTTTTGTCCCGTTTGTCAGAGGAGGAAATAAAGGCAACATTGGCCAAGTCATAATTGCAAAAGATCCAAGACCTAAAATTTGGTTCACGTGCTTTTTTGCTGCACTAATATTCCTCAACAAAAATGCTACTGGTATTCTTGAGACAACCCAAAAATACAGGCCCTGGTTTAAAACCTCAAAAGAACATGAACCTATTAATGTATATTTTTATTCCACTTTCCCCCTGGAATTCCTATACTCATTCTTTTCCTTCTAAATGTGGTGGAAAACATCTTTGTTGCTTATTTTAGAATTAATCTATTTTTAATTGATATTTCACATGTAATCTTATATTTTTCAGGTGTATAACATAATGACTCCATATTTTATACATTGCAAAATGATCATAAGAGGTCCAGTTAACATCTGTCACCTTACAAAGTACAAATTTTTCTTGTGATGAGAACTTTTAAGATTCACTCTTAGCAACTTGCAAATATAAAATACATTAGTATTAATTGTAGTCAACATGCTGTACACATCTTAACTTTGTTGCTGTTTTTAAGAAGTGACAGATGAGTATAGTTAGCAGAAGATTAAGTGTGGGCTCCTATATGAGGAAATCTTAGCATCTGATAATGCAGAACCTTCTGTGTTTTAAAATAATTTTTTAACGTTTGTTTATTTTTGAGAGAGCACAAGCAGGGGAGGGGCAGAGAGAGAGAAAGGGAGACACAGAATCCGAGGCAGTCTCTGAATTGTCAGCACAGAGCCTAATGCGGGGCTTGAACCCACAAACCTCAAGATCATGAGCTGAGCCGAAGTTAGATGCTTAACTGACTGAGCTACCCAAGCTCCCTGAGCCTTTTGCTTTCTAATAGCTGCCTTCTGAGATGCCAATCGGTGACGAGTCACAGTGTAGGAGACCCAAGAGGCACCTGGGAAAGAATACATATTAGCAACTCCACATAATGTAAAAGCTCAGATATTAAAGGTTTATTGACTGTATAAGGATGTCTGGCACTCTCCTTGGCACAGTGAATACAGTGGTAAATAAAACTGAAAAGTTCTGGCTTTCGTTGAGGGAAGATTAAGTGAAAAAAATAAAAATAAAAATATACTCAGGCTAAGTACCATGGTTATAAAATAATGTGCTATGATTAAATTAACTGGTGGATTTTCAACATGGTGCTGGGACAACTGGATATCTTCATGCAAAAGAATAGCGCTAGAACTACCTTCACTTCACCCCATACACAAAAATTAACTTACGTGGATACCAGGCCTACATTTAAATGATGAAAACTGTAAACTCTTGGAAGAACCTCATGACCTTGGGTTAGGCAATGGTTTCTTCTACATGACACCAAAAGCACCAGCAATGGGAGGAAAAAGACTTCACTGAAAGTAAATATATATATATTTAAATATCCAGAAAAATAAAACTACAATCCACCAAATGGGAAAATATTCTTGGAAATCCTATCTACTAAAGCACTTGTATCCAGAATGTGTAAAGGACTTTACATTTGCATTTTCTTTCCTCTCTGAGAATCATTTCAAAAATGGGCAAAGATTTACAAAAAATGTTAGAGAATTCTTTAAGTGGAATAAAAAGGCCATAACTGGGGGTAAGAAAAATATAAAAGAGAAATTTCATTAGTAAAAGCAAGCCTATAGTAAAGGTAGAAGATTAATCACCTACAGGCCTACCTCAAGAAACAAGAAAATCTCCATCTAACCAAACTCCTGAAGGAATGAGGGGAAAAAAAATCCCACAGTTAATAAAAAGATCAGAATAAAAATAAATGAAATTGAGAATAGAAAATAAAAGGAATAAAAGGAATAGGGAATAGAAGGAACATGCCCCAACATCATAAAAAGCCATATATGAAAGGCCCACAGCTAATTCCATTTCAATGGGGAAAAACTGAGATCTTTTCCCCTAAGGTCAGGAAAACAATGGGGATGTCCACTCTCACCACTGTTATTCAACATAGTACTGGAAATCCTAGCCTCAGCAGTCAGACCACAGGAAGAAATAAAAGGCAAATTGGTAAAGAAGAAGGCAAATTGGTAAAGAAGAAGTCAAATGTTCACTCTTCACAGGCGACATGATACTCTACATGGAAAACCCAAAAGACTCCATCAAAAAACTGCTAGAACTGATCCATGAATTCACCAAAGAGGTAAAATAGCTGTGTGCTGAAAACTATAGAAATCTTATAAAAGAAATTGAAGAAGACACAAAGAAATGGGAAAACATTCTATGCTCGTGGATTGGAAGAACAAATATTGTTAAAATGTCAATACTACCCAAAGCAATCTACACATTCAGTGCAATCCCTATCAAAATAACACAAGCATTCTTCACAGAGCTAGAACAAACAGTCCTAAAATTTGTGTGGAACCATTAAAGACCTGGAATAGCCAAAGTAATGTTGAAAAAGAAAACCAAAGCTGGAGGCATCACAATTCTGGACTTTAAGCTGTATTACAAAGCTATAATCATCAAAACAGTATGGTACTTGTATAAAAACAGAAAATAGATCAACAGAACAAAATAGAAAACTCAGAAATGGACCTAAAAATGTATGGCCAACTAATCTTTGACAAAGCGGGAATGAGTATCCATTGGAAAAAAGTCTCTTCAGTGAATGGTACTGGGAAAACTGGACAGCAACATGATACTGGACCACTTGCTTTGTTTTGAATTTATTTTCTGTATGTTGTAAGACTTAACTGTGAGAAAGGAAACCATCAAAATCCTAGAGAAGAAAAAGTCAGCAACCTCTTACTCCACATGTCTCCAGAGGCAAGGGAAATAAAAGCAGAAATGAACTATTGGGACCTCATCAAGATAATAAACTTATGCTCAGCAAACGAAACAAATCAGCAAAACTAAAAGGCAACTTACAGAATGGGAGAAGATATTTGCAAATACCTGATAAAGGGCTAGTATCCAAAATCTATAAAGAACTTATTAAATTCAATACACAAAAAACAAATAATCCAGCGAAGAAATGGCCAGAAGACATGAATAGACACTTTTCCAATGAAGACAACCAGATGGCTAACAAGCACATGAAAAGATGCTCAACATCACTCATCATGAGAGAAGTACAAATCAAAACCACAATAAGATACCACCTCACATGTGTCAGAATGGCTAACATTAACAACTCAGGAAACAACAGATGTTGGCAAGGATGCCGAGAAAGATGTTGGCAAAGGAGCCGTTTGCACTGTTGGAGGGAATGCAAACTGGTGCAGCCACTCTGGAGTTTCCTCAAAAAATTAAAGAAATGGAACTACGCTACAACTTAGCAATTGCACTACTAGGTATTTATCCAAAGGATACCAATGCTGCTTCGAAGAGGCACATGCACCCTAATGTTTATAGCAGCATTATCAACAATAGCCAAATAATGGAAAGAGCCCAAATGTCCACTGACTGATGACTGGATAAAGACGATGTGGTATTTATATACACACAATGGACTACTACTTGGCAGTCAAAAATAATGACATCTTGCCATTTGCAAACGTGGATGGAACTAGAGTGTATTATGCTTAGTGAAACAAGTCAGAGAAAGACAAATACGTTTTCACTCATATGTGGAATTTAAGAAACACAACAGATGATCATAGGGGAAGGGAAGGAAAAATAAGATAAAAACAGAGGAAGACAAACCATGATCTCTTAAATACACAGAACAAACAAGGGTTGCTGGTGGGGTGTTGTGTGGGGGAATGGGCTAAATGGGTGATGGGCATTAAGGAGGGTGCTTGTTAGGATGAGCACTGGGTGTTATATGCAAGTGATGAATCACTGGGTTCTACTCCTGAAACCAAATCCTACACTGTATGCTAACTAAGTTGAATTTAAATATTTCTTTTTATTTATAAAAAATGAAAGAACAGGCAACACATAAATAAAAAATTATTAAAGAATTGATTGAAAAATTATATCCCAACAAATGGAACAACCTAGAGGAAATGGGTAAATTCCTGGAAACATACAATCTTCTGAAACTGAATCAGCAATCAAAACCCCCCCAACAAACAAAAGTCCAGGACTGGATGAATTCACAGGTGCATTGTAACATTTAAAACACAGTTAATACCTATTCTTAAATGATTCCAAAAATAGAGGATAGAAAGCTTCCAAATTCATTCTACAACACCAGCATTACCTTTATACCAAACACACTACCAAAAAAAAAAAAAACAAAAAAACAAAAAAACCTGCTATAGACCAATATCCCTGATGAACATAGATGTAAAAACCCTCAACAAAATATTAACAAACAGAAGTCAACAATATATTAAAAGGATCATTTAGCACAATCAAGTAGGACTTATTTCAGGGATGCACGTGATTCAATATTCACAAATCAATGTAACAAATTACCAAAAGGAAGAATGAACACCACATGATGATCTCAAATGCAGAAAACGCATTTGACAAAATACAACATCCATTCATGATAAAAATGCCTCTAAAATGAGCCTAGAGGGAATACACCTCAACATAATAAAGGCCATATATCGAAAACCCACAGCTAACATCATCCTCAGTGGTGAAAAACTGAAAGCTTTTCTTCTAAAATCAGGAAAAGACCAGGATATTTACTCTTGCCATGTTTATATAACATAGTACAGGAAGCCTAGCCACAGCAGTCATACAGGAAAAAGAAAAGGCATCCAAATTGATAAGTAAAATTGACACTATTTGCATATGACCTGTTACTATATACACAAAACCCTAAAGACTCCACCAAAAAACTACTAGAATGAAGAAATGAATTCAGTACGGTTGCAGGACACAAAATTAATATACAGATATCTGTTCCATTTCAATACACTAATAACTACCAGAAAGAGAAATTTTTAAATAATCTTATTTACAATTGCACCAAAGAGAATAAAGTATTTAGGAATAAATTTAACCAAGGAGGTGGAAGACCTATATTCTGAAGTGAAATTGAAGATGACACAAACAAATGGAAAGGTATACCATGTCCATGAATTGGAAGAATATCCTTAAAATGTCTATCCTTACCCAAAGTAATTTACATTTTTTTAGTTTGAGAGAGAGGGTGCAAGCAGGGGGTGGGGCAGAGAGAGAGGGGGACAGAGTGGGCTCTGTGCTGATAGCAGAGAACCTGATGTGGGGCTCAAACATGCAAACCATGAGATCATGATCTGAGATGAAGTCAGACGCTTCACTGACTGAGCCACCCAGGTGCCCCAGCAGTTTACATTTTCAATGCAATCCCTATCAAAATACCAATAGCATTTTCCACAGAACTAGAACAAATAATCCTAAAACTTCTATGGAACCACAAAATATCTCAAATAGCCAAATCAATCTTAAGAAGAACAAAGCTGGAGGCATCACAAGCCCAGATTTCTATAAAGCTATACTATACTATAGTATATATACTATATATATACAATACTATATACTATAAAGCTATTACTATATATACTATAAAGGTATTAATGAAAACAGTATGGTACTGGCACAGAATAAACACAGATTAATAGAACAGGATGGAGACACCAGAAATAAAAACCATGCTTATATGGTCAATTAATATTCAACAAAGGAGGCAAGAATATACAATGAGGAAGACTGTCTTTTCAATAAATGGCATTGGAAAAACTGGACCACTTTTATACCATACACAAAAATAAAGTAAAAATGTATTAAAGACCTAACTGTGAAATTTGAAACTATAAAACCCCTAAAAGAAAACACAGGCAGTAATCTCTTGGAAATTTGCCTTAGCAATATACTTATGGCTATGTCTTCTCAGGCAAGAAAAATAAAAGCAGAAATAAGCTATTGGGACTACACCAAAATGAAAAGTTTTTGCAAAGGAAACCATCAAGAAGTCAGGGAGAATGGGAGAATATATTTTCAAATGATATATCTGGTAAGAGACTAATAGTCAAAATATAGTACATATAACAACGCACAAAAAAAACTGATTTAAAAAATGAGCAGAGAACCCAATTAGACATTTTTCCAAAGAAGTCCTACAGATGGTAAGTACACACATGAAAAGATGCTCAACATCACTGATCATTAGGGAAATGCAAAACAAAACCATAAGATATCACCTTACTCTAATCAGAGTGGCTATTATCAAAACAAGAAATAAGTGTTGTCAAAGATTTGGAAGAAAGAGAACCCTTAAACACTGTTCATAAGAATGTAAATTGGTACCCCCACTGTGGAAAACAGTATGGAGGTTCCACAAAAAATTAAAAATAGAACAACCCCATGATCCAGTAAATTCCACCACTGGGTATTTACCCAAAGAAAATGAAAACACGAATTCAAAATGATAATATGCACCCCCATGTTTATTGGAATGTTATTTATGGGGTGCTTGGGTGGCTCAGTTGGTTGAGCATCTGACTCTTGATTTTGGCTCAAGTCATGATCTCACGGTTTGTGAGTTCGAGTCCCTCATCGGGCTCTGCACTGACAGTGCTGGGAAAGCAGTCTGCCAGTTCCTCACAAAGTTAAACATAGAGTTACCATGTGATCTAGCAATTCTACTCCTAGGCAAACACCCCAAAATGAAAACGTAGTGTCTGCATAAACTTGCAAGTGAGTGTTCACTATAGCATTCTTCATGATAGCCAAAAGGTAGAAACAAGTGAAACGGTAGATGAATTGATGAACAAATTATGTTCTATCCATACAATGGAATAATAATCAAACATAGTAAGTACTGACACCTGCCACCACTTGGATGAACCTTGAAAACATGCTAAGTGAAAGAAACAAGTTACAAAAGGCCACATGTTCTATGAGCCCATTAATATGACATGCCCAGAATAGGCATGTCAGTGGAGACAGGAAGTAGATTAGTGGTTACCAGATTCTGGGGAAAAGAGGCAATGGGAATGATTGCTAATGGTAATGGGATTGTTCCTGAAGGATGAAAATGTTCCAAAATTAGGTAGGGATTGTTGCACAACCCTGTGAATATACCAAAAAGCACTGAGATACATCCTTTAAAAGGTTAAGTTTTATGGAAAATGAAATAGATCTCAATAAATTTGTTATAAAGTAACTGGCAGGGACATAGAATAACTCAGTCCCCACCATTGTTCCCAAAATATTAAATGAGGGATGTGTGTGACTCCTTTTTAATAATAAAAAGAGTTTATGTTTTAAGTGTGCATATTTGTATGTGCATACATTTTTTGAAAAACCTGAAGCAAGAGTCCTGGAATATAGGTTGTAAGGGTGGAAGAGAGAATCTCTGCAGCCAGACTACTTAGGTTCACATGAGATGCTACCACTTCCCAACTGCAGAATCTCAGACAACTTCCTTAACTGCTCCTAGTTCCAGGTTCCTTACTAGTAAACAGAGTAAGAATAGCGTTTCCTTTGTGTATGTGCGTCCATGTGTGTATTAAACTAAACAATGTTTACAGTGGTTCGGTAGGTTAACTGTTACTGTTGTCATGGTTATTATTACTCTCCCAGCAGGTCTGGACTTAACCTAACATTGTGGAAGTGTGATCAAGGCTTCTCTCTCTTCCTATTGATATTTGAACAGATTGCTGGCTGTGGCTGTTCATGTTTCTCTCCCTATTCCACCTCCTAGAATTAGCTCCCATCGCCACCCCACCCCCAAGTCCCCAGGGATTGTTTTGCTTTAGGAATGAAACTGCATAGAAGGAAGAAGGAGGGGGAGGACACCTGGGTGGCTCACTCGGTTGAGCATCCAATGCTTGATTTCGGCTCAGGTTATGATCCCAGGGTGGTGGGATTGAGCCCATGTCTCCACACCAAGCATGGGGTCTGCTTAAGATTTTCTCTCTCTCTCTCTGTCTCTCTTTCTCACTCTCTCCCTCTCCTCTCCTCTGCCCCTCTCCCCTGCTCATGCGATCTCTAAAATAAAAAATAAATTAATTAAAATTAAAATTAAAAAAAAAAGGAGGAAGGATGGGGACCACTGGAGTCCCATATCCATCCCTCAGCCTCTCCCTTCTCCTCTCCCCAAAGCTGGGTCTTATCAGTAGTATTTCTGGAATCTGCTTTATCCCCTATGTTATCTCCCAGCAGACTTGTAAAAATAGCTCTTTGGATTGAACTGCTTTGAATATTACCTGCTTTGGGCTAGTTCAGAGAGTTAACAAGCAGTTCCATTCTGGGAAGTGCAAAGCCAAGGTGATGAAGAGGGAAGTTCAGTGGTGTGAGAAGCAGGCTGGATCCTCCTTCAAGATCTGGGAAGAAAATAAACATGGGTGGTAAAGACAACTGAGTACCTACGTGTGTCCCAGGAACAATCATATCACCCACCAACATTTTGTGCTTAGGCCCCTGAGCCAGAAACTTGTTCATTAGAACACTTGCTCTGGGCCAGGCCCAGAATGAGTAAATTACAGGGAAATCTAAGTTAGCAACAGGGGCAAAGGGATACACGTCTGTAGAAAGGGAGCCTGTAGCTGAGACATGGGGAGTGGGGCAAAATAGGTAAAGGGAATGAAGGAATGCACACATGTGTGTGTGTTAAACCGTGTTCAATTTATGTTAACTTATGTTCAGTCATTCCTCTCCCAACAGAACCGACTTAACTTGAGCAAGGTTAAGTGTGCCACGAAGGGGTGGCTTCCCCAAAGAGGCTGCAATAGAGCTGCTAGGAGACCCCGAGAATTAGTAGTCCTTTCTTGGCCTCCCATATCCCTAGTATTTTATATTATTAAACTGATTTTTTGGACAGCTTGAAACCAGCTCAGTCTGTATCCAAAATTAGTCTCCCATCTCCTGTTGATTTCTGTGGGGCTGCCCTGGGGGTATTCAAGGAAGGGTATAGGAACCCTACCAAAGATATTACTTGACTGGGGTGGAGGGATGAGATTTGCAAACTCTTTGAGGGCATAGCATCTTGTTAGATTATTGACAATAAGCAGACAGACTAACAGGTTTCCCAGGCAAGGCTCACCTTTAGACTGGCAAATATTTTCTGAACACCTTCTCTAGGCCACATGCTGGGAATACTGTGTTGAATGGCCCCTGTTGGCCCTGTTCCCCATCCTCATAAGCAGTGCAGTGAATCCTAGGTCCACTGCCTTTGTTTGCCACACCGTCCCCCACAGAGCCTGGGGATGATCCTTGCCTCACCTGCTAGCAAATCTCTCCACATTCATCATGCACATCTAATAAAAACTCCCCAGAAAGGAGGGGATTAGGGCATGTATGTTAGATACGGCAAAGCCGTGAGTGGCTCCGAGTATTTGGAGATCGTTCAGAGAGGGTAATGTGATAAAGAATAAGGGTCAGACTCAATTTTGAAAAAGAAACAAAATGTGAGTGTGGCTTTAGAAAGCTTTTCTTCACTGAGAAAGTTTACGAGCAGGGATTTGGCAAGCAGTCATCGAAGCTTCTCTTCCCTGTGTCTGTTTTCTTCCTTCTGCCCTCTGTCAGCAGAACTGTTTGTGCAAAACTAGGAGCTGACATTAGCCTTACCCCTAGCCCAGGGGTAGCCCAATGTTGTAAATAATGAAGCAAACACATCAAGCAGAAGATTGGCCAAAGATGCTCATGCAATGGTGAGAGGGTAGCAAGGAATCAGAGAGGCAGCACCGCCTCTGGAAATTATAGGCCCACCTTCCATAGACAAAGAAGCTAACTTCAAGCACCCACCATGCACATAGCATGTGGATTCACACTTCCATAGAAGAGTCTTCTGTTCAAGTTAGAGTAACACGTGGGTCTACCTTTATATTGACTACACAGTTTCTCAATGTCAAGCTAACTGGCTCTTGTCTCTAAAGGTTTCATTTTATGGAGTGATGATCATTTCTTGAGCACTGGAAACCTTACCAGATTCTCTAATTAGCTTATTCAACCTCACAGCAAACCTAAAAGGTACATATTAGACACCTTTGTTACTAATCAGAAAATTAAGACTCCAAGGGACTCTGGAAACTGCGCCCAAGTGAGACAACTGAGAAGTGAAGCCATAATTCAAGTCCATAATTTTAAAACAAAATTTGCTCTTTCCAGCCATCACAAGGCAGCTCCAGGACACCCACAGATAGCACCTATTACAGCTCTGTCTTGCTAAGGTGACACAGGTACAAAGCAGCCCACTACACGCCAGGCCAATATCTGCTTCAAGCGCAGATGACTCACCAGGGCGCACTCTGTGTGGAGTGCCCTGAGATCTCCTAGCCTGTGCCCACCTCAGCTCTATCCTGCTAGGGTTCCCTATGTGTGGAGAACTCTGGTGACCACCAGGTCTTAGCCTGCTTCAGTTCCTGCCATCCCCTGGGGAGCCCCCTACATGGAACACCCCGGGACCCCCAGCCCATGCTTGCTACAGCCCCAGCCAGCCAAAGCCACCAGGTACATGGTCTATACAGGGGATGTTCATACACAAGGCCATTCCCACAAAGCTAGGAGAAGTAGCTCTTCTATCGAATTCGTAGAAACACAGAAAGTCAAACCAAATAAGGAGAAAGCATTTACTCCAAATGAAAAACAAGACAAAACTCCAGAAAAAGAACTAAACAAAATGGAGAAAAGCAATCTACCTGATAAAGGGTTACAAGTAATGGTCATAAAGATGCTCAGGCAGAAGACTGAACTCCATGAGAACTTCAACAAAGAGAGAGAAAATATAAAAAAGGACCAATCAGAACTGAAGAATACAGTCAGTGAAGTCAAATCCACACTAGAAGATTAGAGGATGCAGAAGAATGTATCAGTGATCTGAACACAGGCTATTGGAAAGCACCCAAACTGAACGCCAAAAAGAAAAAAAGAATTTTTAAAAATAATGATTAAGGGATCTCTGGGACAATATCAGGTATTTGCATTACTGGGGTTTCAGAAGTAAAAGCTAGAGAGAAAGGGGAAGGAAACTTACTTGAAGAAATAGATGAAAACATCCCTAATACAGAGAAGGAAACAGACATCCAGGTCTAAGAAGTCCAGAGAACCCCAGACGAGAAGAACTCAAGGAGGTCCACACCAAGAGACATAATAATTAAACGTTATAGTATAAAGCCAAGAGCTGGTTCTTTCAAAATATCAACAAAATTGATAAACCTTTAGCCAGACTCATCAAGATAAAGAGAGGGCTCAAATCAAAAATAAAGAGAAGTAAAACTAACACCACAGAAATACAAAGGATTACATTCTACAAAAAGTTATGTGCCAACAAATTGGGCAACCTAGAAGAAATGAATCAATTCCTAGAAACCTATAATATTCTAAAACTGAACAAGGAAGAAATAGAAATCTGAACAAACCACTTACTACAAAGGAAATTGAATAAGTAATCAAAAAACTCCAAAGGGCACCTTGGTGGCTCAGTAGATTAAGCATCTGACTTTGGCTCAGGTCATGATCTAAGGTCCATGAGTTTGAGTCCCACATTGGGCTCTGTGCTGACAGCTCAGACCCTGGAGACTGCTTCTGATTCTGTGTCTCCCTCTTTCTCTGCCCTTCCCCCACTCACTCCCTGTCTGTCTCTGTCTCTCTCAAAAATAAATAAACACTAAAGGGAAAAAAAAAAAAAACTCCAAACAAACAGAAGTACAAGATTGGATGGATTCACAGGTGCATTCTAAGAAATGTCTAAAAAAGAGTTAATACCTATTCTGCTCAAACCATTCAAGAAATAGAAAAGGAAGGAAAGCTTCCACATCATTCTACAATACCAGCATAACTCTGATACCAAAACTAGACAAAGAATACAAAAAACAACCCACTATAGGCCATACCCCTGATGAACACAGTGCAAAAATCATCAAGAAAATATTAGCAAAGTGAAATCGAAAATATATTAAGAGTGGGAATTATTCCAGGGATACAAGGTGGTTGAATATTCACAAATAAATGTGACAAATTAACAAGAGGAAGAATAAACACCATATGACTATCTCAATAGACACAGAAAAAAATTTTTGACAAAATATAACATCCACTTATGATAAAAACTGTCAACAAAGTGGGTTTAGAGGGAATACACCTCAACATAATAAAGGCCATTTATGACAATCCCACAGCTAACATCATCCTCAATAGTGAAAAATTGAAAACTTTTCTTCTAGAACAGGAAAAGACAAGGATGTCCATTCTTGCCACTTTTATTCAACACAATGCTGGAAGTCCTAGCCACAGCAATCATACAGAAAAAAAGAAGGTATCCAAATTGATAAGAAGTAAGACTGTCACTATGGGCAGATTACCTGATACTATATATAGAAAACACTATGATACATCTTTTCTGGCCATAATGCTATGACACTAGAAATCAACCACAACAAAAAACCTGGAAAGAGCACAAATACATGGGAGTTAAACAACATGATATTAAACAATGAATGGGCCAACCAAGAAATCAAAGAAGAAATCAAAAATTACATGAAAACAAATGAAAATGAAAACACAACAGTCCAAAATCTCTAGGATGCAGTAAAAGTGGTTCTAGGAGGGAAGTCTGTAGCAACAAAGGCCTATTTCAAGAAGCAGGTAAAATGTCAAATAAATAATCTTACACCTAAAAGAGCTAGAAGAAGAAGAATAAAATCCAAACTCAGCAAAAGGAAGGAAAGAATGAAGATTAGAACAGAAATAAGTGATATAGAAACTAAAAAAACAATAGAACAGATCAGTGGAACCAGGAGCTGGTTCTTTGAAAAGCTCAACAAAATTGATAAATCTCCAGCAAGACTCATAAAAAGAGAGAGAGGGAGAGAGGGAGGGAGAGAGAGAGAGGGAGAGAGGACCCTAATACACAAAATTACTAATAAAAGAGGAGAAATGACAACCAACAACACCACAGAAATACAATCACAACATAATATTATGATAAACCTGTATACCAAAATATTGGACAGCTTAGAAGAAATGGATAAATTCTTAGAAATATATAACCTAACAAAACAAAAACAGGAAGAAATAGAAAATCTGAACAGACCAAATAACCAGCAATGAAACTGATCAGTAATCAAAAAACTCACAACAAACAAGTCCAGCACCAGAGGGCTTCACAGGCAAATTCCACCAAACATTTAAAGAAGAGTTAATATCCGTTCTTCTCAAACCATTTCCAAATATCCAAAAGGAAGGAAAACTTCCAAATTCATTGTATAAGGCCAGTATCACCCTGATACCAAAAGCAGATAAAGAACACCAGAAAAAAAAAAAAAAAAAAAAAAACAAAAAAAAAACTAAACTAAACTGAAAGATCTACAGGCCAATATCTCTCATG